GTGGCTGCACAGCAAGGATCTAATCATCTAAGATCTGAACCATGCGCTACTCCCGCCTCCTTTTCAGATCAAACGGTTTCAACATATACAAAAAAAACCCCAAAGGCAGAGGGGAGAGATGTAGCAATTTTTGTGGATTGCCACATTCCACTTCTTTAAGAGCTGCTGGGCTGCTCCATTGTGGTCAGGGAATGAAGTAAAACAGCATGAAAGGCAACAAAAAAAGAGCTATGGCAAGGGGGAGTATAGCAGAGGGAAGATCAAGGAGGAAATGGCCAATTTTCTTTACATGAAAATTACAGAATCCCCCATGAGTTTCTGGGCATTGGCCTTTCTGATCTGGATTGCTTTCCTGAGTTCACCGGTGGATTTTGCAAGGATTGGCAATGCAAATGGAGCAGACATTACAGAAATTCTTTCCAGGCAGAGGGTCAGAAGAAAATAACTGTAATGTCACCTTAATGCTTCAGTGTTGCGGCAGTTTAAAAAAAAAAAAAAATTAGAAACACACTTTTTGCTCCTGGGGGTTTCCATTGGATTTATTCTTTAAATATTCCCATTATAAATCCTAAAGTACTTTGCTTTACTTTGCTGTAAATTGCAGCAAATCAGTGGGGTTTTTTTTTTCCTTTTTATGTTCAAGAAGGTAAACATAAAGCTTTTTCTTATTTGTAATGAAAAATAAGTTAAACTATTTGGCCCCAATTTCTTTCTCACTGGGTGCATCTACATGTGTGCTTTGCTGCAGTGTTGACTAATTAGCTCTGCAGTAAAGCATCACTACCTACATGTGCACTGGTGTTAGGGTACAATAAATTAATTAACTCCATCATAGGATAGTACTGTCCCTGACAGAGTAATTATGTGCACTGAAATGCAGATGGTGTAGATGGTGCTCGAAGCTGGCTGGGGCACAAGGGTGCTAAAGTTCAGGGGCTTTGTGCACAGCTCCACACTTTAACACTCTCGTACCCCAGCTGGCCCCTCTGCTGCCTGACGCCACCACCCAGATCCTGGGGCTGACCCCCCAGAGCCTGCTGCCAGCCCAGGGCTGCTCTGCCCTGGCTCAAACTGTTGCGGTCCCAGGCTCATGTGCAGATGCTGCACTCAAGAGCAGCTGACTCAGGTGCAAACTGTGCCAGAATTTATTTCATCATGCGAATAGGACATGTAGCTGCACCCACTAACACCTATTTTACTCTGGTGTAACCTTATTGATCTCAGTGAAGCAATTCTCCATTTTTACTGGCATAAGCAAGAAGAAAATCAGATCCTTGTCTTAAAGAAATGTAGAAGTTTAAGACATTAGAAAATCAAATTAAAATGTTAAAAAGTTAAAAATTTAAGATGTAAAAAAAAGAACGAGTGAAGCCTTCCCCAATGTCTCTTGCTTTAATTCAGAAGCAGAGGCCTAGCACGTTCCTGACTGTTGTATGGTTCTTTTACAGCCAGCCCACCTTCAAGAAAGGCAGCAGCTCTTAAATAAATTAAATACAATTAAATCTGGAAACTCTGGCTGCGTCCAGATGAGCACGGCTTTGCAGTATGCAGTGCCAGAAACCTGTCTGCGGCGCCACACACGACACAGTCAGGCATTCCCCATGCTGCTAGTATCTCAAGGTCAGAAAAACCTGCGCAGAGAAAAAAGCAGGGTGGCGCACATGGCAGCAACTTGCACTGCCCAGAACTGGAGTCTGGCCAGTCAGAGCCACACTCCGGCCACCAGCAGGCTCCCAGCTCTAGGAGCACTGTGGCTGCAGCTTCTCTGGCTCCCAGGACTCCAGGTATGTCTGCTGGAACCAGTACCAATGCTGGTCCCAGCCTTCCCTACCCCACCTGAGGTAACCTGCCACACGCCAGAATGCACGTGGCACAGGCATTCCCTGGGGACAAGCAGCAACATCACAGGGTATGCTATTGCTACTAGTCCCCAGGGAACCAAATGTCCACGCTTACCTTGACATGGCTCCTTTGTGGATCTAAATCATACCAAATTACTCACCCGGCATGTAAATGCATTTTGTGTTCAAGAGGCTAAGTTGTTGTGCATGGAAAATTGTATTGTATCCAAGTCCCGTGGCATGCAAAATGGCACTCACAATTTGAGCCAGGTCAATATCAATCTCCCTTTGAAACAGTAGTTTGACAAGCACTCCACTGCACACGCATCAAAGTCAGTAGGAGCTCCACGTGTTCTCCCAAGGACAGACTTCAGTCACAGCCGTTAGAGAAAGACTTCAGTCTAATTTATGAATTGTAATTGCAGAATTTATGATTCTGTAACCAGACGCTTTCAACAGTTTTCAGCAGCTTCAGTACAATGAAATAGAAAATTACTATTATGCTACATACCTATTTATAGATCATTCTCCAATTCCAACCAGCAATTTGGACTGTATTCAATACTATTTATATAATACCTCCTCCTGTTCTTTGTGAGAAAAAAATATGTTCTGTTATATGCAAGCATATAAAAAAGTAATATTCTCCTAACAACACAGACAGTGCCTTACTATTGTGATTTGTAAGCCACATATTAGCTTATTTGCCCAGGCCGTGTACGTTTACTCTAGTCAAGCATTTTTGGTTGAAAATAAAATACTAAACTAATTATTTAAAACAATAATCATTGTATAGGGATAACTTTGAATAATTTTCAAGTTTCTTGTCATCATTTTCCATCTCAGCCTAATTCTTTTCATTGGGGATAAATAAAATCTTCAGGAAAGAGCTAGAGTTTCTCCAAACATTAGGCTACTTCAGACAATATAAAAAATTACTCGCTCAGTTATAGTAGAGTTGGAAAACTGCTGTAGCTACAATGGTCTAGGATATGTATGACATGCAAGGGGTTTTTGTCATCACATTTATTGGTGGTGCTTTGGGCCTGGAAGTGTGTTCAACTTCTCTCCCAACTACACAGTTGGTCCAATAAAAGAACAAAAAAGCCTATGCCCCACTCTGCTATATTCATCTGCTCTGGGATCTCAGGAATTTACTTATGTTGATCACTTCCACAACTTCAAACACAGAGTTTTCTATTTTGTGTTTGATGTGAGCATGTAACTTCCATTCATGCTTCCTTCATGTTCAAGGGGATAGCTAGGCCTTAAAACACTTGGCTGTACAAATATGTAAAGGGGGAAATGGAATTCTGGAAACCTGCATGTTTAAACTAAAGAGCCTTTCTTCTGACTACTTTCTACTAAAGTTCACCCACATGCCTGACTCCTCTCTGCAAATTTCATTCATGTCTATGGAGCATGCACTTCTCCCCTTTTTATCCCCAAGAAAAAAACAGTCCTGCATAGTGCAATGGAGTGCAAGTCTTAGTGCAAGTGTAGCCTTTGGGAATTGTGGGAAATGCTGAATAATGGTTAAAGGATAAAATTAACTAAAACATTTGTTCCACATTCAATATTTATTTTGGCTTAGATAGAGATGTAAAATGTTGGGATACTTATCCAGATAAATCCCTTTGATCAAAATCATGCATGTATTGACTGGAATTGCTGCTCTTGACAACTTTACTGTCCATTGCTTAAATTGCTGTTCTGCAGCTGAAAACACATATTTATGCCATGAATTATAAGGTCTCCTTCCAGGGCCCTTGGGGGGCGGGCTGTCAGGCAAGTTCTTGGTGGTCCTTCTCAGACCATTGGCTTGCTCTGAGCCATTACAGTGTATTGTGTTAATTTGGCTGTTGGTACTTGCCAACTTGTGAAAGTCTGCTTGCTAAGACACTGTAGATAGCACTACCTATACAGACACTGAGCTGTTCAGTTACCATTGTTAACATCTCTACTATATTTCTATGTAATCTTAAAGAGTTTGATTATAATTGGACTAACTAGAGAGAGATTTGGGGTTTTTTAATCAGAGGTTTTTTATTTCATAAACATTTTTTTCATTCCTTTTGCACTTGCAGAATGTTAAAATAAACCAGACCCAAGAAGCTAAAGTCATTCTGTTTTCCCAAAAATATGAAACAGGATTAAATAATTCTCATGTGCACGCTATTTTTTTCAGTTTTGCCTTGGCCTGTTTAGTTTAAAACTGGAGCATTTGTTTATAGAAGAGTTATCAGCAGCCCCTAAAGAATAGGCCTTATCATGAATAGGCAGACAACTGGTAGCCTAACCGGCACCACTATAATTACGCTGCTATTCACAAGCGAACCATTGTTACCTAAGCAACTTTAGCTGGTAATAGGTAGTTTCAAGCTATCTACCCTCCTCCACCTTGCTCTGTTTTGCTGGGACTGAGCTATAGTGGTGGAGGTGAAGCACCCTAATGGCACCCAAAAGGCATAATGATGGCTCATCTCATTGCTGCTCAGGATAAGACAAGGTGTAATCACAGCACAGCAGTCTTGGCCTGTGAGGAGCTCCCCAGTACACACACACCATACCCAGGCTACAGACACTTTTGCATAGGAATGTGGGGATGCAGGACTTGCCATGCGGGCACGGACCCTGAGTGTGGCCACTGCCTTATGCTGTAAGAAAGATACAGGGAATGGTGGAAAGGCACATGTGATGCAACTCACTCCCCATAAGGGACCATAGGGCTCTACTGAGAAGAGGTGTTGTGGCATTTTCAAAAGAGGCATTAGCATGAACTAATATAACTGGATATGTTTATATTATACATTTTGCAAAATTTTTGGCTTCAGTGGCATCCCGTGGCAGTGAGTTCCCTGCAGGCTATGTGGTGTGAGGGAAGGTAGTGCCCTCTGCTACGTGAAACTGTCCACCATGTATGTTTACCACATATCTTTTTGCTCCACATCTGGCCGCTCACCACCCCCCTACTCGACATCCAGCCACTCGCCCCCTACCCCCCAGCTCTGCATCTGGCCACTCGCCTCCCCCACCCCCCGGCTCTGCATCTGGCTGTTCCACTCCCCTCCTCCACTCCACATCTGACTGCTTGCCACCCCCCTCAGGAGTACACTTATTAAAAAGGGGGCGACCGAGGGGACACAGATTAAAAGGTTGAAAACTGCTGCTCTAAACAATGTTTTGTTTTTTTCTGTGTCCACTCTGCAACACCTCTTTTCTCTGAATTGTGCCTTTTCAATCTCTTTTCATAGAGTTTTTCTTATGCCCTTACTCTTCTCTCCTTCCTCTGAACCCTTCTTCTTTTCACAAGTGCAGCAAAAATCTGACCTGTCCTAATCACTAAAACATTTATCAGGGCTCTTGGTTACCACAGCCTGCCTCGCTTGGTTACTACAGCCTGCACTGTGTCTTCCTCAGCTTCCGCAGTATGACTCCAGTCTTTCCACAGCTGCAGCTTTTTGGTCTCCCAATCTCTTATCCTCATCTTCACACCCAGCATAGCTCGGCCCTAGCTTCCATTTCAGATCTTAATTCCTATGCCCTTTACCACCCTCTTCATTGCCTTCTCCCATTCCTGTCTTTATATGTTCATGCTGCCCCAGGAATGGAGCAGCCTCTTGAATCCCCAAATGCCAGGCCCTCAACCCTGTCCTCCTGATTCAGATCCCTCCTGAAGACTCACTACTTTTAAAAGGTCCTTGACAGTCACCTGTGTTATTATTTTACTCTTGAATATTTTAAGCTAATTTGATGTATTTCAGCTATCTCCCCTAGATCTCCCAGTCCATCTTGCCCTGTCTTTAATCTGCCTTTCTTGTTGGATCAGGGACCATTTTTATATATGTGTTTTATAGAGATCAGATCACATGGTTGACATTTTTCACAAATTAGTAGTAGTAGTATCATTAATAATAATAATATTGCCATCAACCTTGCAAATAGCACACCTGAAGATTTTTACTGTGTTCTATTTAAGCAAGTACTTATGGCTAATCCAGTTACCAGATACAAAAGTTTACCATTTATTGAGAAAGGAAGGCCAGCATTTCAAATTCTATTGTGTTATCTCAATATCATCACGGACAGTATAAGCATTACCAGGTGCCTTGCAGCCTGGAGTCTGCCTGTTCCTGAGCTGCCTGGAATGTTTGAACATTGCAATTCTACATCATAATAAGCTGGGATATTTTTCAAACTGAAAAATGGGCACTTTTAACAAACCAATTTAAAAAACCATTTATCAACCATAGTAGCTCCCTTGTTCATTTGAAAAAATGAATGCAATCCATTTCTTAAAATACATAATAGTAGATAAAGGCTACAAGAGGAGGATGCAGGCCAGTTTCAGCCCCTCCCATCATTACTAGGTCTTTGGCCTAGAGCTGCTCTCTTCCTTCTTGAATTCTTCCTGAGGTGGTGGTTTTCATAAACTGAGGCCCCCAAAATCTAAATGTTTCCTATGTCAGTTCCAATAAGAGTAAAACACCACAGACATGGTTTTTTGTTGCAAATATGTGTCCCTGTACTTGGCAAATACCATCTATCTGTTCTGTGATCTGTGTGTAATAGGAAGTGTAATAATTGTACTACTTGAAGAAAGGTGACATTCCACATCAGTATAATTATCAAGCACAGCTTTTAAAAGAGATTGTGTGTCTTAAAGGAAAAGCCATACAGGTTAAAGATGTTTATTTTAGTACGTTCTCAATATTTTCTTCAGGTAAGAGCCTGATCCTATGAGTTGATTGGCCCCCAAAAGTTATTTCCCATTCAGCAAATTCCCAGATCTGGCTCTAAGAGTGTAAGCTATTTAGATACAGTGGGCACATCTACATGTGTGCATTTATTGCGGAATAACTGAAATTATGGTGCAGTAGGGGCACACGTCTACACATAAATTACTGTGCAGTACAGACACACATCTACAGTAAATATGGTGACTTACACTGACTTGAGCGTAAATGTGATACCTGCATCATGCTGGTATCAAATTTACACCCGATTAGTTATTGTGCAGTAAGGCACATGTAAACGCCTTACTGTGCAGTTCAGACACAGCATTAATGTACTTTAATGCCTGCACATGTAGACGCCAGCCTATTCAAGCTTACTGTGCAGTAACTTACTACACGGTAACTTTAAGTCAGCGTAAATGCACATGTAGACATGCCCAGTATAAACATTACTATTATGTTTTAAGTCAAATCTGCAACTTATACTGTTTGTGTATTTGACTGGAAGTCAAAAGACAATTCTCAACTCTTCTGAGTCCTACTTTAGCTTGTTCACTTCCATATTGGTGCAAGTACTTGAAACGTTCATTATTTTTATTTTCTTTTTATATTTCTTTTTAACCTATGCTTTTCCAGTTTCTCAGGTAGTTCCACGTGAGCATTTTCCACCTGAAATGCATCACAGCTAGATTTCCAAATGCTTACTTTCTCCTCGCTTATTTATTTGATTACACAGGACATGTGAGATACAATTGTATGAACGATAATGTGGTGTTCATAATTTCTGGCATTGCACTTAATAGGACGTAACATTTCATGAACATTCAGAATTTCTACCAAACATGGAAGATGCATTATTGTTGGTATACAATTTTTTTACACATGCCCTCACTTCAAGACCCAATTTAGTTAAAAGACTAGATGAAGGGAGATTATGGTCATCTACATCCCATATATTTGGCCACTTTATGCCTTTGTTTACTCTTAAACTAAAAAGAAAGTTGAGGAGAATTTGCTAAGAATTGCTAAAAAAAATTGCTTTCAATGCAGGGTACATTGAAAAAGTACCCAGGGTGATTTCCAAAAAAGGGAGAACACAAGATTAAGAGAGTCTTTCTTGCATGCAGCAGGCTTTTTCCCCAGAATTTGAAAAAAAAATAACCTGATGCAATGACTTTTTCTTTGATCACACTTTAGGTGGTGGGGATGGGGGGGGTCGTAATTGAAAGATATAACTAAATATCAATGTATTTTTTTTAATTTCCTATTTTTTTTAATTTCCTAATTTCCTAGAGATTAACTGGAAGACAAAATCTGAACTTCCTGGAACTTTATAGGGTGGAGGTGTGGCATGTGTATTTTTATTGGGATCCACATGTCATGAATAGAGTTCAATTTATAACAAGCCATACCAGCTCCCTGATCCTGAATGCTACTGAACTTTAGGGCTAGATACAGACAGTCAAAAAGCCCAAGCTGAATCAGTTTAGTCTTTGCAGGTTAGTCTAAACTGCACAGATTAAAATGAAACAGAAGTGAACAGACATTTACCTTTGATTCAGGAAATGTAGCCACATTCTTGCAGTGGCTCAGGCCAGAATCCAAGGGGTGCTCAAGCACAGCTCTCTGGTTGTGTGTTCAATTCTGCTGCCCCTGAGGTCTCTGGGATTTGCAGTCCAGAATTATAGCAGCAAGACTCTGCAGAGTTGCTCATCACTTCCTCTTCCAGGTGCCTCTGGGATTTGTAGTCCACAGTCACAGCCAGCAGTAAGTTTGAGTGGGGGAGGAGGTGTTTAACTCCCCTTCTTGGCCCCAGACCCCAGTTGGGGTTTGCCGGGGATGGGGGCAGCCCTCCCCACCCCCCATAGACTGGGCTGCATCCCCAGCTTGGCTTGCCCCCCCGCCCCTGTCAGCCAGCCCTCACTGCTCCAACTAGGGAGCAGAGGGGTGGGGCCAACCCTGCTCTCTGAAGCAAACAGCATAGCCCAGCCCAGGGCTGGAAAGCATGCTGGGATGCTGGGGGAATGTGATTTAACTTATACAAGAAAGGGGTCTGGGAAAGAAGTTTCATAAACTGGTTTGACCCAAATCAGTTAAGTCTGATACTACATTCAACCAGATTTATCTTAAACCAGTTTCAGCCATTTTGAAATGGGTTTATGTGTACTGAGCTTCTGTTCTGTTATAGGTTTAAACCAGTTTCTGATCACTTAAACTGATTTATGTGTAACTTCTGTCCTTAGCCATGGGGGGACCAGCACAAATCCAGGTTGTAGTCTCTGACTGGATCAGAGGTCACCTAAAAGCTGGGAGGGTTTTGAAGCCCAGACCTGAATCCAAGTCCCAGTCTTGTAGTTCAGTCCCACCTCTGCTCTGTCCTACATGCTTGTATTCAATCAAAACAAGTGTCAGAGGAATTTACAAAATGAACATCTTCTTTTTACACGTTGGTTGATACCAGTGTTTGTATTTATTAATTTTTGTTCACGTGCAATTCAGCTTAATCATTGGATACAAAATGCTTTTGGGGCATCAAAAGAAACTAACTTGACAGATGTGCCTTTTCTGTTGTATGTACACAAGCACTGGGGTTGCAGGGACCAGTCATACGTTTGTCATCTTATTTATGATTTTTAACACATTTGTGATAAATTAGGTTCAGTTCTAAGTTAAATAATACTGGAGCCAAATAGTTGTTTTTGTACATGTGCAACTTATCACAGTTGATATCAAGTCCAACCCAGACTCCTTGTCTTGGTTGGACCTTTCCGTAACCTTTCTGGCTTTATTCAGGGAAATGTGGACCAGCCTATTTTCTTATAAAAACTGTGGTCTTTTGGAATGTCATACTTATTTTTTTAACCCTTTGCTCCTACACTCATTGGATGCAAAAAGACTGTAACAATAGTATTTTTGTAAACTGCCACTTGCTTTGTGTTTAAAAATAATATATACATATTTTATGCTATAAAATGCTATGTAGTTGTTAAACTCTTGCGTTTAAAAATATTTTCTTATATATCTTGCAAAACCTGAAGAACCTGTAAGCTTCTTTGTCATGCCTACATACCTAACATGTAACATTCTAATGGCAGTAATGTGAGACTAGCTAGTCTAAATGAAAAATACTGTGGGACCTAATGCATTTCTAATGTTACTTCATCATATGTAGAGGAAAGAATATGGTGCATTGTTTCAAAACCCAGGATTATAGTAAAGTAACATTTCCCCAAAATCCCATCTGAAAATTATGGAGGAAAATTCCATAGAAGTATAGCCACTGGGGCCTAATTCTGTGGTCCTTAGTCATACTGTGTTGAATGTTGTTTTATAAGTATTCCCATTAATTTCATTAGAATTATTAAGAGTAAGCCACTATGCCATGTAAATGAGGGTGACAAAGTAGGGTCTTTTCTTAACGGGTACCTCCAGCTTTTCAAGTGGAGAAGGGGTTATATGTTTAATATTGGAGGGTGAAATGTTAGGTTGTGTTCTGCACTATGGGTTTTTCTTGTGTATTCTGGACTCATTCTGTAGCTGGAGCTCCAGATGAAATTAATTAAGGTCCTGTGCACAGATGAATGTGATAGAAATCTACAGTAAAATATTGCAGAATATGCAAAAATGGCCTGATTTTTAAAGTGATTTGAAATAACACCTCTCATTAAAGTCAGTGAGAAGCACGGGTTCTCAGAACCTCTTAAAACAAGGACCTGGGTTTTTAAAAGATTCATGAGTAGTGTGCAGAGGAAGATTGTACTCTCTGACTAAAAACACTTTCTGTGCCTCAACCTGGCCATAAGCACCTATTTCTTTATACAAAATAGGCTGGTCTTCCACTGCAGAGTCCAGGGCACTGCCACCTTGTGGGACCAGGCCCCAGTATTTTGAAAGTTTACCCTTTGACGTGGTTTTGTGTTTGCAAGAAGGTAAAAGAGATTGGTAATTCATCACTCAGTACTCTTCCCCTCTGACTGCTTTGTGATGTTTATCACTGTTATCAATGGAGTATGTTGAACTGGACTGTAAAATCAGAATATTTTACTGCATGTGTTTTTTTAATAATTGTATGCAATGTTGCCATTATAATACAGTAAATATCTATGTGTTTTTCTTTTTAAAGACTTCTCAGTTATAGTGGGCTGCTTTTACCTTTTTTCTTGATATCAAATTATTTCCATCAGTGTGTTTGTGCCGACCTAGAAACCAAAAAGAACAAGATAGGCAGGACTAGAATCTGATTATGTCTGCCTTCTTCTTTGTCTATTGTCCTCACGCTACAGGTAAGTAACTTGGCGCCTACATGATACTAAACCTGTAAAATGCAACAGGCCACCTTTCCTAAGAGGCTATACTAGTGCCTGTAATAGAAATATATACTACTGTACTAGAAATTTGCAGGGGATTTAGAAGGAGAAAATTCATAGAACCCTGTTACACTTTATTTGGGATTCTAAAGAATAAATGATCCCTGCTCCATGTTCCAGAGGAAGGGGAATACCTCGCACAAAAAAAAGGAGAAAAATTTACCCCAAAATGTGATGATCATTCTTACCTATGCAAGTGGATGATCATCATCATAGTTAGGTATGTACTGTATTCTGTATCTTAATGTCCCTGAATACTAATTGGGACATGTATGTTAGGACCCAAAAATCTCCTTGGTATCCAAATAATTTCCTGTTTCTTTATGAATTCTGAAAGGTTGTATTCCAAAAGAACCTCTGAAGTTAAAGGACTCCAAAAAACCAATTGCATCCTGGAGCTGGGGAGAACCTCTCCACATATGTTGCCTAAATGTCTTATATTGGGGTATATTTTTGGAAGGCCTGTTGTTGCTTAGGTCACATGGACCCTTACTAGGTCTTTGTGTCCCCTTTAAGGTACTCCTATAGGGCAGTTTCATGTCTTTCACCTAATAACCTTCTGTCATGTAAGTTTAAACTCTGGTGCGATACTGTGTGGAAGTGTGATTTCCACCTTATGGGGAGCCATGACATGGAGGATGTCAGATTATGGTGACATAACGATAATATCACCATCTTACATTGTCTGCTTTAATCAGAGCTCAAAAGAGATCACTACTGTCACTAGCAGCTTGTTTCTTTTCAAAGTAGTCTTTCCCATGGGTTATTTAATGTTTGTGGCACTTGTACATTCCTTTCATTGCCACAGGGTTTTAGGCAAACCAGCTCTTCTGAAATAGGCAAATAAAATTGGGGAGATTTTGTTCTGCATGTAGTTAATTCAGGGATTTGCTTCTAGCTGGGTGGAGAGAATAGTGCATGAGGTTTTCACAGGCCTGAAAAGAAAAACATGGTTTTATGGGTGAGTGAGTATTTTGTTGACTAAGTTTCAAGCATCAGTGGAGTCCACAGCTGCTCAGCAGGGGCTGATACAGTCAACAAGAATTACTGTAAATGATTTTAGAGGGCATTGGAGAACTCTAGACACGTATAAATATACAAGTTGAATATTACTGAAGAAACACCTGTTTTAGATAGTCAGCCCATTGCAACAGGACAAAGGTTGCTGTTCAGATCACAGCACTGAAAGGTGGCAAGTTCAATAAATAAAAATATGCTCAGATGCTCAAATAGTATAAATCAGCAGAGTTGTACTGAAGTGGATGGAGCTACACTGATTTACAGCCAAGGAAGATCTGGTTCATAGTCAACAGGAAGCTAAAAGTATCATCCGTTCTGTATTTCTTCTCTATCTAAAGCACTGATTTAAAATTATAATTGGTCAAAAGCTCTTTCCAGCACAGTGAAGTAATTTCAGATATGAATGCTCATTATGTGTTTAGGTGATAATATAAAAAAAACCCCATCATTATAAACCTACTAAATTAGAAAGACTTGAGTAAGGTTACAGAAGGATAAATATTTAAATTTGGTTAAAATCAATAGTGAGGATATAAGACGGACTGAATTTTAGGACATAATCACTTTATACTAATGGCTAAGCTGATGCTATACAGAGGGGATGAGTATTAATCCGGCAGAAATAAAAGACAGGGTTCTCTTTCCTTAAGTTAATATTTCAAGCTTTCTGAAATTAATTTCTTAACATTCAATGAATGCAGCTCAGCGTCCGACTGAGGAAAAGCACTCGGATAAACATACATGGCTGGAGCAAAAGAAAATGAAGACTCATCCGGTTTTACTGTAGCATTCATGGTATTATGAAGGATTGCAATATAATCCTCTTCAATGAATAACCCTAACAGATGTTATCAGGGTGGCTACGCACAGGCTGTGGACCTCTGGATAGAACTCCCTCAGTGGAAGTCCGGTTCGTAAATTGTTCTAATGGGCTGCTTGATTTGTCTTGCTGTTGCAGCAGCGTGGAAGGCAGGCGGTTAACAATGCCCTTAAAGTATGCGTTATTCCCATCTGGTACTCATTACAATGCTGTTAAATATTTCATGCTTTTCATTTTACAAACAAATACACACAGAACTAATCTTTTTGTTTAATGTTTCTTGATTGACATTTGGATGAATAGATTTGTATTTTTTAACTGACGATCTCACGGTGTCTCCACTAGGGCTTTTAAAGGAATATGGAGTAGATCTCCACAAACTTTTCTGGTGGGCTTTTGTTACACTATTGATATAAAACATGATATGGGAAAAATCCAGATGATGAATGTGCTGTTCAATCAGCTGGGAGCTCTTTGCTTGCAAGAAGATAGCTCGATGAAGTGCAGACAGAGACAGGCAGCAGACAGTGACTGCTTGTCAGCTCTAACCCAAACTGTTTCCTTCTGAGGGCAGTGGGAAATTCAATAGCTCACAGTACCACTTGGCCCTTCATTGGAGATCTCAAAGCCCTTTCTCAAACAGCATTTTTTGAATCTCACAACTCTACAGTGTGTTAAGTAAGCCTCACTACACCCATTGTACAGAGAGAGAAACTGATACGGGGGGGGGTGGGCATTAACTCAGCATTTTCAAGCCTGAAGTACCCAGACCTGTAACTAGATGTGTAGCCTCCTTCTTGGCCTTGTGGGTAATTAATACTTCTGAAAATCAGGGTAGCTTTTTCCAGCATCATAGATCCCAATCCTACATTAAGCTCTTAGATTTCGATGCATGTATTTAACCTTTAATACATAGGTTTGAAAATGTTGACATGAATGATTTGCCCAATGTTTTCTTCAAGTCTAAAATGGATCCAAAAGTAAAGTCCAGTCACTTGGCTTTAATGACTAGACGTTTTATTGGAAATTTTCTGAAGTATCTTGGTTAGGTTTCTCAGCAATTACCAAGCCCAAGTCTTCCAGAAGACTCAAGAATGTAGATTGTGAAATATGACTGAGAGAGGTCCAAAAACATTTCCCCCTTAGCCTTTTGCTGTTGGGCCAACTCAGCAATAGAGTATGTATGTGAGCGAGAATATTTCCTATTTTTTGAACTTGGGTGAATTCTACCCTGTGAATAAACCCACAGAAGTCTTTGTAGTTGCAGCATGGATGAGCTTTTGCCCTAGGGTATAATGTATCAGACACATAGTCCCTGAACGCTCAGTGTTACCAGATTGAATTCAGCTTTGGAGGTGCGTGTGAAACAATGACAGTGTCCTGAGGATAGGCTGCTAACTTAACCTACAATTCAGAGCATCTTGCGTTATGTTCAAACACACATTTCTGCTTCTATAGCAGCTAAAGGTGTTCAAACACTTTGCAAACTCCAACTAAGGCTCTTACCTTGGAGGTAAAACCTCTTTCTTCTTCAGCTATCCCTCGATATGAGGTTGATGTCTGCGGGGAGGGGAGGGGGCACGGATTACTGGTGACTTTTAAAATGGGTGAAGAGTTCAATCCATGCTCTGCAAGGTTTTCCACAGATATGACAGGTGGTGCCTTGTGGAGGACACGACTGTTGGCCAAGATGGTGCTTTGCTTCCTCCTCTGCCGTTTCTCGGCTTCCTGAGCAAGACGGGTCTCTTCAAAGTGGGCTGTAGCTTGATGTATGGTGCAGCGCCATTGAGACCTGTTCCCAGCCAGCACTTGCCAGTTTGTACGGTTGATGCTGCCCTTAAGGTATGCTTTCCTTGTAGCGCTTCCTGACTTCTGCAGATCCTCTTACCATGACTGAGTTGAAAGAAGAGGACTTGCTTTGGGAGATGAGTGCCAGCCATCCTCACACAGTGGCCAGCCCAGCAGAGTTGTTTCATGAGCTTTGCCTCATTGCTGGTTGTTAGCTGCATAAAGGATGCTGGCATTTGAACAGTGGTCTTCCGACCCAATGTGAAGGATCTCCCTGAGGCAATGCTGATGTAACCATTCCTGGCACTTAAGATGGCTTCACTATGTCACCCATGTCACACACCCATAGAGGGGTGGGGATAACCACTGCATTGTAGACCAGGATCTTAGTTTCCATCTGCAGATCTCGGTACCTGGGAGGTAAGATCTCTTTACCAACTGCTGAAATGCAGCCACTGCTGGAGTGGAACACTGCAATACACTGCAACAGCATGTAACAGGTTAGGCCAGCCATTTAAAATGGATTGTAACTGCTAAATACTGTGGTTCATGTCCATAAATCTTTTGCAGTGTCGAATTTAACATTTATTTCAATCTCAGAATGGCAAATGCCAAGTCACAAAAAATGTAAGAAATCAGTAGAATTCAGAGTGCCAGGGACCTCCTCAAAGCTCTGACTTGTCACTGATAATACCTGCACAAGACAAGGGGCTCTTTTTGTTTCATTCCCAAATAAATGAATTGCAGCCTGTATGAAATCTCCCCAGGCCATTTGGAACAGCAGTTCATTTGCCCACAGCATTATAAAACATATTTTCCACTAAGCCCAAACATGGAGAGAAGGGAAAAAAATACTATGATGAGAAGAATCTCTGATCCATGTCTGAAAATACAAATATTTTTCAGTTGTCATGTTTGATGGATAAAGTGTGTGACACACTATGCAAAGCCATAGCAACTAGATAAGTATGTTTAAAACATTTAACTTTGATACATTAAGAATGAGCTGCAGCAGGGGCTTATCAAAGCTGAAAGTAAGCAGACATTTCTCCATTCCTAAAAGTAGTTTTCTACAATTGTTTAGCTTGGAAGAAGTTCTGCTGCAAATAACTTGGAAGTGTAAGGGGAAGTTGGTCTTCATACACAATGGAGCTGTTCTGAAGGGTCATGACTTGTGAATACCTTTTTGCTTCATCTGCTGCTAAGTGCCAGCAGCCCATACATGCTTTACATTAGACCAGAAGAGTCTTTCAAGCAAGCTACAGACAATTGACTTGCCCTTTGAAATGAGTGCAGTAATCCATGGCCTTAGCTGCTCCAAAAGTATGTGCGCACACACAGAGCATATGCTTAGTATTTTCATAGCACTGTTAACATTTGATAAACATAACTGGTAACACTTCCTCATGAGCAGTCACTAAGTGTCAAATTCTCTCCCATTTGCAATTCTAACAAGATCAATGAAGATACAACAGGAATTCATTCAGCCCACAATAGCTTGTGGAGATAGTATTTTTGTTGCATATTAAGCAACATACCCATTGGAGAGTTGTGAGGTTTGTGTCAAGGACCACCAGTTTGTTTTCACAGTACATCCCATCAGAGACCAGGAAAAGAGTTCCCTTCTTTATAAGCTTTTCTGTTGGCATCTGACCTAATCTTGTGTCTGCAAAAAGGTATTGTTTTACTCTATAGCAGTGATTGCAGTAAAGGAGTGTCTGTTGGGATGGCTGATGGAAAGGGCTGGGAAGGGAGCAGGAAACAGGACTGGGGCTTAATCCTAACCATTAATCCTGGCTCTTTAGTTACAGATACTGTACTGACTCCCTCTCCCATAATTCATGGCTTTTTAAACTGCTAATATATCAACTTTGCTTTATGAATGCAGACAGGGGCCCCATAACGCTACTCCTGTGAAGCATGGCACAAGACATGTACAACAATGTATCGCTTTGCTCCATCCCTCAAAATGTCGCTAAAGCCACATTTCTAGTCTCTGTTGGCAGGGGGTAGAAAAGCCATAAGGGCATTCCAGAGCACAGACCTCCCACTGGAGTGCTCCTGGGTTTCAATGGTATAGTGCTCTCCAGTAGTCCCTGCAGCAAGGAGATGGTATCATCCTGCACCAACCAACTGTGCATCTGTAACACTGCATAAAACTTTGACTTAATTTATCAAGCTCCATAGGCTTTGAGCAGTAAATAGGCAACTACTTGCTTGTTCACTAAGGATGCCTATAAATGTGCAGCGAGGCTGCTCTGACAGGCTGTAATTACAGTGCATCAGAGCAGATTCGATTAATCAAGTCTGCTGGAGCATGGTAATTATTGCACTCCAGCAGACTCTAGTGTCTTGTGTATTAGCATCCCTGTGCTGAAAAATGGTGACAAGTGTGTTCAACGAGCTTTAGTTAAAATGCCCCTGCTGCCATTTTTCAGCACAGGAACGCTGGTACACGAGACACTCTGGGGACTTTAATTAGAGTGACTTTTGGAGCTGCTCTAATTAAAGTGTGCCCCCCTTCCCATGGTCCTTCCCCTCCACAATCCTGGAGCACATGTATAAACACCCTAAAGGTGTGTGCAAGCATTCAGATGAACCAGTCTAAGTCGTGCAGGCTAGGCAGAGCAGTGTAAACCCCTATCAATAGAGCCAAATGGAAGCATTTTATATTTCACAGAAACATAGAAAATTAGGATTGGAAGAGACCTCAGGAGCTCATCTAGTCCAATGCCTTGCTCAAAGCAGTACCATCCCCAACTAGATCATCTCAGCCAAGGCTTTGTCTAGCTGGGTCTTAAAAACCTCCAAGGATGGAAAATCCACAACGTATTCTCTGGGTAACCTATTCCGGTGCTTTACTACCCTCCTAATGAGAAAGTTTTGTCCTAAACTTCTCTTGCTGCAACTTGATACCTTTGCCCCTTGTTCTGTCATTTGCCACCACTGAGAACAGTCCAGCTCCATCCCCTTTGAAAGCTCCCTTCAGGTAGTTGAAGCCTGCTATTAAATCCCCTCTCGGTCTTCTCTTCTACAGACTAAAGAAGCCCAGTTCCCTCAGCCTCTCCTCAAAAGTGCCCGAGCCCCCTAACCATTTTTGTTGTCCTCTGCTGGACTCTCTTCAATTTGTCTGCATCTTTTGTGTAGTGAGAGGCCCAAAACTGGACACCATACTCCAGATGTGGCCTCATCGGTGCTGAATAGAGGGGAATAATCACTTCCCTCAATCTGCTGGCAATGCTTTTGCCACTACTAATGCAGCCCAGGATGCTGTTAGTTTTCTTTGCAACAAGGGCACACTGTTGGCTCATATTCAGCTTATTGTTCACTGTAACCCCAAGCTCCTTTTCTGCAGAGCTGCTGCTTAGCCAGTCAGTCCCTAGCTCAGGGGTCGGCAACCTATGGCACGCGTGCCCAACGTGGCACGCGACATGGTTTTTATTGGCATGCAGGCTGCTTCCCACCCAAGGGGTAGGAAGAGGCATGCCCAGATTGAGCAGCACATGGCTGCCTGGGAACAGCCTTGTGCTACTGCTGACCCTTGCCACCACTGGACCCCAGCCCCAGAACACCACCAGCCCCAGCTGGGTAAAAACCCCTGGCCCCAACCCCAACTGCCCCTCTCCATGGCCCCAGTCCCGGCCCCAACCCTGTGCTGCTGGCCACGTGCCGCCGGCAAGCCCCAGCTGGCACTACCACCGCCATGGGTCCCGGGCTCGGCCACGTGCTGCTGGCAGGCCCGGCCCCAGCTGGCACCATCGCCATTGCAGACCCCAGCCCAGTGCCAGCACCAGGCAGGGGCCGTCAGCAGTGTTGGGATGGGGCTGGGGCTGGGGCCAGGGCCGCGGACCTGCATGGGCCCTGGCCCCATCCCGGCACTACAGACGGCCCCGGCCATGTGATGCTAGCAGGCCTGGATGCCACCGCCGCCGCCACCAGGCCAAGGCCATTGGCAGCCCTGGGATGAGGCCAGGGCCCAGGCCTGTGCACCTGCGCAGGCCCCGGCCCCATACCAGCACTGCCAGTGGGCCCGGCCCTGGCTGGCACCTCCACCACCGCCACCTGCTCCAGTCCAGCACCACTACTGGGCCGGGGCCATCAGCAGTGCTGGGATGAGGCTGGGGGCCCCATCCCGGTGCTGCTGGCAGGCCTGGCCCCAGACGCCTTGCCCAGCACCTCCACCGCCTGCCCTGACCAAGCCCAGCGCCGCTATTGGGCTGGGGCCATCTGCAGTGCCAGGATACAGTTGGGGCCTGAGCCCATCTCGGCCCTGCCGATGGCCCCGGCCCTGGCCCCATGCTGCCAGCGGGCCTGGCCCTGGCCGGCACCTCCACCACCGCTACTGGGCCGAGGTGATTGGCACCACCAGGATGAGGCCGGGGCCCCATTCCGACACTGCCAGCGGGCCCAGCCCCAGCCACATGCTGCTGCTGGGCTGGGCCCTGTCCGGCACCTCTACCTCCCACCCCAGCCCAGCGCCGTGGCTGTCTGCAGCACCAGGATGAACCCGGGGCCGGGGCCCATGGACGTGCACAGGCCCCAGCCCCATCTTTGTGCTGCAGAGGGCCTCGGCCCCAGCCACGTGCTGCCAGTGGGCCTGGCCAGCGCCGCCACCAGCCCCAGCCCAGTGCTGCTGCTGGGCCCAGGCTGTCAGCAGCATCAGGATGGGCCCAGTACTGCTGAAGGCCCTAGCCATGTGCTGCCAGTGGGCCCCAGCCCCGTGCGGGCCTAGCACCAGCCGGCACCACCACCACCACGGGCCCCGGCCCTGCACCGCCCCAGCCTCAGCCCAATGCTGCTGCTGGCCCCATCCTGGTGCTAGTGACAGCCCAGCTGCGGCCCCAGCCCTGTGCTGCTGCGGGGCCCAGCCCTGTGCCGCCAGTGGGCCCTGGCCCCAGCTCCAGCTGCAGGCCCATGCTGTCCATGGCCAGGCTCCAACTCCAGCCCCCTGTTGCCTGTGGGCTCCGGCTCCAGCCCCATGCTGCTGGGTGGCCCTGGCCCCACGGCCCCACAGCCCCAGCCCCTCGCTGCAAGTGGGCCCCGGCCCCAGCCCCATGCTGCCCACAGCCCCAGCCCCAACAGGCACAGTGCCAGCACCTGCTGTCTTCCTGGAGTCCAGGGCCGGGAGACAGCCAGGGCCGGTCTGGGAGGCAGCTAGGGCTGTGCCTGGGGCAAGGAGGCAGCAGCTGTTTACAGCCTCCTGGCTGCAGCTGGTCCAAGTTCTGGGTAGCTGCTGATAGCCATGGAGCCTGGGCAGGGAGGCAGGGGCAGCAGGGGTACGAGCAGAGCTGAAGGCCAGGGGCTTTGGGTGGGGGGGCAAGGGGCACAAGCAGGGCATCCTGCCATATACCCCCCTGCCTTCATTTTGTTTTTCCGGCATGCTGGCACTGCAGCACCTTCCAAGTTAGGCATTGTGGGGTTTTCAGCCAAAAGACATTGCCTACCCCTACCCTAGCCTGTAGCAGTACATGGGATTGTTCCATCCTATGTGCAGGATTTTGTAGTTGTCCTTATTGAACATCATGAGATTTCTTTTTGTCCACTCCTCCAATTTGTCTAGGTCTCTCTGAATCCTAGCCCTACCCTCCAGCATATCTATTACTCCCCCCAGCTTGGTGGCACATGCAAATTTTCTGAGGGTGCACTTTATGCCATCTTTACAGATTCACAGACTGTAAGGGACTGGAAGGGACCTCACAAGATCATCAGGTCTAGTCCCCCTGCACTAGGCAGGAAAGACAGTTGAGGTCAAGTGACTGTCCAGTCTCCTCTTGAAGATTTCCAGGGTAGGCAATTGCACCGCCTCTGGAGGGAGCTTATTCCACAGTCTGGACACCCTGACTGTGAAGCTTTTTCTAGAGCTGAACCTGAAGTGGCCTTCCAGGAGTTTGTGGCCGTTACTCCTGGTTTTCTCCCAGGGTGCCCTGGTGAACAGTTCTTCACCGAGCTCTTGATGTTT